TATCTTTTGAAGTAAAACTGATAATCCTTCCAAAGTAGTTCTCTAGATGATTTATAATTTGTAAATTTAGCTTATGATGTGTAAGGCCAAAGTTTTAAATGCATGCCATTCTTGATAATTATTGTTGAAGGCAGTATAATTCTTTTTCTTTTCATTGAGACTAATTTCAGAACAGTGTTAAGTTCATAGCATAATGGAGAGGACACTATAGATGCTTTTCATATCATCTTTGGTCACTCACTTGGGTAGCTCCCTCCATTAGCAACATCCAATACTAGAGTTGGGAGTTTATTGTAATTGTGAATCTATTTATATATCATCCTCATCCAAAGTTCATAACTTACATCACATTACTCAGAATTCTGCACCCTCTATGAGTCTGAAAAATGTACAATTGAAAACACCCATCATTTTTATATCATACATCATCTGTGCTGCATCTATTCAGTCTTCACCTATCTCCAATCCCTGGAAACAACTGAATTTATTCCCATATCCATAGCTTTATTTTTTCTAGAATGCTACTTAGTTGAAATCATACAGCTTTTCCAGATTATTCCACTTAGTAATATACATTTAAGATTGCTCCATGTCTTTTCATAATTTTATAGTTGATTTCTTTTAAACCTGAATAGTACTCCATTGCATGCTTGTAACAATTTATCTACTTACTTACAAAAAGACATCTCTACTGCTTCAAAAATTTGGCAAACACATATAAAACCACTATAAAAACTTTTAAGTGTATACATTTTTTCAATTATTTTGAGTTAATACCAATAATAATTCTTCTTGTTAATCTCTGTGTCAGAATTTACCACAATTAGTTACCAAAGTTCTTTCTGAATTTATGTCTTTACGAGAACTAAGAGTGCAGGTAATACATTAAGGGGCTTAAAACTAGCTAATGTTGCATGGCATGATTTTAACTGAAAATCACCCTAAGTTCTCACCCTTCAAACAGTGGACCCAATCACCTCTCTCTCTCTCTCTCTCTCTCTCTCTCTCTCTCTCTCTGTGTGTGTGTGTGTGTGTGTGTGTGTGTGTGTGTACGTGTGTGTATGTCTTTCTCTTTGTCTCTGTCTCTGAATCTGTCTCTATCTTGTGGTCAATAATGCCTCCAGTTTTCCAGGGGTTTGAGAAAAAGACAATTCTGTAAAACTTATATAAGCAACTGAAATCCAGTTAGAATATTGTATGACTAAAATCCAATCATGAACAACCTTGTATCTGTGTATCTCACAGTGATTCCGTTTAAAATAAAATTAAACGTAAAACAACTGAAATCCAAACCAAATGGCAGAGCACAAAGATGGTCTGATTATTGTCCCTGGAAGGTTGCTTTTCACACATGCTCCAAAATACAGAACAGCGAAGATTATAAGTTCCTTTCACTAGAACATAGAATTCCCTCTGATCTTTCTCATATCCAGCACTTAATACTCTGACTGACTTCTTGAGGCCTCTCTGAGGTAAACAGGAAGAAGTCATTTCTTTTCCCATGAGCTACCTACACCCATTGTCTTGAACTGTCATGACTTTAAAAAAAAGTTCTTGTGGGTCACTTCTTGTATGCGGCCAACTACGAAGGTATGATTTCTTCTTAGCATCAATGACTGGTTATCACTTTCTCTAAATAACAAGAGGAATTAACAGCAATTCTGAAAATGAAAAAAATCCCAGCAAAATAGGGAGTCACTGATAGAGTCAATGTGTGTCCCTGGACTTTGAATGTCCTCAAAGTCTGAGAGGAGACAAAGTTAAAGTTAACAATGACAGGCCAGAGCTGACTGCCTATTGTGGGGCAAAAGCAGATCTGTGTGCAGTGGCCTGAGGACTGCTTCACAGTTGCCAAGGCAACAAGCTAACTGGCACAGGAAGTGTTAACTTGGTGGAGGAGCCAAGACCAGGCTCAGCTTGCCCTGAACACTGACTTCCTTCTCATGGCAGTAGGAATCAACCTTTATTGAATCACCATGGTTCAATTCACTAAAGGTTGGCAGTAGGCACCAACCTTTAGTGAATCACCGTGGGGTGCAGTTACAAACTTACAAACTTTCGTGTTTGCATTACAGTCATACAATGATCATTTACTCATCCCTCCACCAGTGCCTATTCTCCCCCACCAATGTTCCAGCATCCCTCCCACCACTCCCATTCCAGTCCCCACCACCCCACCCCACCTCAGTGGCAGGGCGTTCCCTTTTATTCTCTCTCCTTTAGGATGTTGTAATTTGCAATAGAGGTATTAAATGACCATTGTGTTCAGTCTATATTCTACTTTCAGCACGCATCTTGCATCCCAAGCGAATCCTCCAAACATCCTTTACTTGGTGTTCCCTTCTCTATCTGATCTGCCTTTTCCCCCAGCATGTGAGGATGGTTACCAAGCCATGGAGCAGACCTCCTGGTCCTTATCTTGTGTTAGTCTCTCATTTTGTTACTTTATATTCCGCAGATGAGAAGCACTGACCTTTTAAAGGACTTCTCAGTATTCATATTTCAGGCAGTATTTACTGAAAAACTACATCTCAGTCCAGACTCAGAAAGTCACAATGCTTTTCCACAGTCAAAAGAGTTTCCCTCACTTTATGAAAGGAAAGAGGGATAAAGGGACCTAAGCTGTTGCTGGGGGAGATGTTGGGAGGGTGGATCTTTGCTCTGCTCTGACTGTGGCTTCCTAAATCCTCATTTCTCTCTAGAAATGTTAGTCCTTCCTTAGCTGGAGCATTAGGACATTGAGGACTTTATCTTAGACATCAGAATGTAACCAGTGAAGGTCCAGGTGGGCTCAATTTGCCCCCGCTCAAATGGCCATACAATATTTCTTCTGAAAATTGTCTAGCCTCTTAATATATAGTTGTCCCTTTTAAGATATATTCATGGGGCCAGGAAGGTAACTCAGACACAAGACCACATTCCTGCTGGTACATTAACCAAAATTCCGTTCCCAGTAACACATGGACCTAGAGAACATCTAACTATAGCCTTGGAGGTTCTTGAAGACCTCCAGAGTGACTCATTTGGCTCCCAGCACCAATGGGTGGGATAAGCAGGGTTGCATCACCAGCCATAGCATTTAACTGCCTACCCATTCTGTTTTAGTGTCTACAAGAGTGGGCCCTGGGCCCCCTGTGCAATAGTTTGGAGATTCCCAAGCAAAAAGGAAAACCCCAAAAGCACATTCACTTGTGTTAACTTGGTAATACTACAGCACTCTATCAATCATAATTGATAGCGGTCTATCTATCATAATATATCAGGGGACATATTATGCAATCCATAAAGTTTTTTCAGACGAAAATTAGAACACAATGTTGGCTAAAGGACATTTTCCTTTCTGATTCATAAAAAAGCACTTTAAACACAGACTTTGAAGCATAGCTATTTATACATTTAATGAATTATCTTTTTTTAAAAAAGGATAAAATTCAGATTTGTACTGTGACAGTAAATCCTGGAAATATGGTGAGATCATTTTAGGGCAAGAAATAAACTTTGCAGCTTAACGAATTTAAGAAAAAGCTCTAAAGAAAAAGTAATTCAGAGGCTGAGATAAGAAGACACTAGAAGAATTATAGCTAGAACATGGGTTGCCAAGTTAATTTAGCCTACTGCTCCTTTTTCAGAAAAACAACAACAACAACAATTTATCAATGCCCTTAAGTGAACAGAAAATATGTTTCCCAATTGTAGCCATGGCTACTACCCTCCCCATTCCCCCCTCCCCCATTCAGCATGGTGATATTACCCACATCAGGAAACAATGAATTAGAAACTTCAAGTACAGAAAATACAACTCTATGGGGGAAGGAGATTCAGGCAAGGTACAGTGTTCCATATCACATGGAAATGTAAAAGCAAAAATTTAAAATGTGCCCACAGTGCACTGAGTGATGTAATCCCCAGAGATAAAGTGGTATTCCTGGAAGAGTTCATACTTGCTACTCTACTGAAATGTCTGCTCTGCTTTGCCTCCATTTGAAATAGAAAACTATTTTAATAAAATGAAAAATGCGTTCAGTTAACATGTCATTCAGTTAACATCAGAGGCCCACTGCATGCTGGTTATGTGCTGCTGTTCAAGTAGAAATAAGGCACAGAGGAAGAATCAGACCTACCAAACTAGTAATAGGATGGTTATTGAAATGGTTTTCTAGTTTTGCACTCCAAAAAGCATGAGTCACAGCTGCTTGATATCAAAGTAGCAAATATCATTCTGTCTGCATAGATGCGTGCATTGCCATTTGTTCAGAGATGGTAACTCCCTTTAGTCAACCTTCCCAGAGAATTAAGGAGAGATGTAAATCTTATCTATGCTGCTTCTGAATCTCCCCAGACTATACCTTTACTTTTTTAGTATGATAGTGTATGACCAGAAAGCTAAGCAATATTGCTTATGCTTGTTGCCTTTCATAGAAACACTGGTTCTTCAAGATAGAAGGGACTCTAGACTGACTACCCTAACATCCTTTCCCCAAGGTTCTGAATATTGTCATACAAACAGGAAGTCGTGTTTTATGTATGCTTTGTTTGAAGTGAAGTGATGTTTAAAACTCTTCAGTGCAAACTAAATGCTAACGCAACACTTGGGTACACTGCATTCTGGGAAGTGAGGATCCGGAGGGTCCACTTGGGGGAAGAAAAGATGCTTCTAGAAACCTAAAAAGCCCCCCTGTCACCACTAAACAGGACATGCTCATAAAGCAGATGTTTTCTAGTTAATTTTTTGTAAACTCTCAGATGGATTAAGCTAAACATCTCTGAGCTTTATTCATAATTGCTACAGTAGGTAATTTGTGCTGGTGGTAGCAGTAATTTAGAGTTATTAATGAAAATTAAGGCTAATTGAAAAAATAGAACCTTTTATCCTAGGCTGAGGTAAAAATACAAAATATCTTCAGATAACTGTTTTCTATTCTGAACAACAAATATTACTTTATTTGGCAATACCAAAAATTGCATTGTACTGTACAGTCTCAGACATTCATTGCACATACCTGCAACCCTTCAATGGCCAGTTTGAGGATCGATGGGGTCAGTTTGGAAGCTTGTTTGAAGGAAAAATTACTCCAGTCTATAATTAAAATAAAGCCATTGATCTGAAGCTCTGGATCTTCAATAAGGACTTCCAAAGACAGTAGGATGGCACGGAGGATGTCTGTGAAGGAGTTCCTATGGCCAGAGTAGAAAGGAGAGGTGAGGCGTGAATATTAGCGGATAACAGCACTTGGTGATGGCATTGACTTCCTTTCTGCCACAAGAACCCAGCTTGCACAGGAACACTGCTATCCTGCATCCATAAGCAAAAACACATCTGTGGAACATCTTAGGAACAGTGCTCTGAGACTCCCAGCAGGAAAACTCCCTTTGCTCTGACCACACCAGCAACCCAGCTTGATTTGCGGTCTTGCTCTTTTTTGTGTTTCTGTGGGTCTCCAAATCTCAGCTTTATTTCACCTTGAATCGCCTCCCTTCCTTGTCTCTAACACTCACTGAGCCCTAACATCTTCCAGGACAGGCATTGAGCCATCAGCATAATTGTGGTTTCAGTACTGGTACCTCCTGCTTTTCAAAATTTTGAATTACAGAATCTATTTTTCTCAAAAATCAACATTAGTACCGAGTTTTGTAAAACCAGAAGAAATCCTAAGAGAATTTTCACTCTCACACCCAAAGGGAAAATGCACAAGCAGGTTCAGCTTGTGCTTTGTGACAGCCATTCTAGCAGTTATGTGGTACGGGTGGCAGAATGAGTGTTTTTTTTGTTTTCCAATTCCTTCCTGAAACTACTTTCTAGAGGCCAAGGATTTATTTTATGACCCTTGTTTTTACTGTGTGAGTACTATTTTAGGTTTAAACTGTTATGATTTGGTGCCTTAGTTGGGGGGTCTGGGAATGTGCAAAAATGTTACCACATAAATTATCAGTAATGGTTTCTTTGCTTTATGCTACCAACTGACCAAAGCTTTGCTGTATCACTCAACTTGCAGACAACGGAGGAAACCCGTTCCTAGCTACTCAATGCATCAATGCTGAACGAATGAGATGAGCCCTTAATCAGCAGTGATTATTTAGAATCAACCTCTTATTCCTTTTGTGTGCTTAAAATCTTGCCAACATTATAAAACATCCATGCAATTGATGCTATTTTTCAGCTCCAGCTCATGGATAGAGAAAATAAAACAGGAAGAATAGCTTATTTTCATTGAAGGTTTATGGAGTGATTCAGGAAGGAAATCATTTTGAGTACATGAGTAACTATGACAACAGGCAGACCTGAATATAAACTATAGCCACAGATCTCTTGGGTAGTATGTGTTCTTCCACACCATATATTCTCATTTTCCAGTGGATTTTTGTTTTAAATAATTTTCAGACATGAAAAATAGTGGCATATTCATCCTAGTAATTCTCCTATTCTAATTTCTAAGCAATAATTCAGAGATTGTAAGGGATTTCTAAGTAGATGCGTAAAAAATATATAAACTTGGCTGGAAAGGGATAATAAAATTTGTTGCTTCCTGCAAGCTATCATTAAAATCAGATACCATCTCCTGGAATAAGAAATCAATGTAGTGAAAAATAGATTTTTGAATATTTTCAATCTGCTTAAAATCTCAGCCTACTTCAATGATTTCAGATTAAGACACAGGAAATATAATTTGGAACAAGAAATCAATAAATATTTCTCTCAGTGTCTGTTGTAAACTCAATACTGTGCTTCATACTTAAAACTATAAAATTATAATACAGTATTTCTACATATATTGTCAAAGAGTCCTATTTAGTTGAGGTATGACTGGAGATCAGCAACACAAGTTAAAGGGATCAATACAATTTGAGCAGTAAGTTTATGGATGGATAAAAACCCAGGGTAACTCTTGAAGAATGCGTAGAATTTTGATAGGTAATATAGAAAACACAGCAAGCCAGTACAAGTGGAATACAAAGATACATAGATCATATGTTTTTATGCAATTTCTCCTACTAATAATTTTTTCCTAAATTTTCCTCTCTTAAATCCACCATTTGAGACAAATAAAAGCCTCACTTTCTATTAAGTAACCACTATAAATGATCTAAATGTAACAATCATGACATTCTGTATAAACTCTAGTTTAAAAAAATTATTAGTAACTTTAGACATTTCTCATAAGAATGTTCTCACAGAAAAGAGCATTTTATTTCATATAGATTATATTCTCTTATACTTTTTAGAGATTTCAAATTCCTATTAATATATGACACATTATTATTTGTGCTTGGTTTTGTTTTTACATTTTTATCAAAACATTATTTAAAGACCCAAATACTTTCCAATAAGTAGTTTTGTAATTAGAATAAATATTGAATTAATGAATGTATCATGGCAGCATGATCATTAGCTTAAGCAATCCAAAATGGAAATATGAAAATGCCCAATGGTAAACTGGAATGACCATTAGGAAATTAGAGAGTCTGATCTTGGAAAAGTTTTCTTAGAAGAATCTTCCACATGGAGAAGAATCAGGGCTGAAAGGTTAAATCTTAAAGCCTACATACAATGTTGACATTAAAAGAAGAAAAGTTAAGGGAATAAATTGTGTTTAGAAAGAGAGATAAAGGTTATTTCAAGAAATAAGGATATAGTAGATTGCATTACCAGATTACAGACCCCAATTCTTCACTTATCTAGGCAACCACAGAATAACTCCAGCACCTGTGACTTGCTTTAACTTATCACATGTGACAGAAATGACAGTGTGCCAATTCTGAACCTAGCTCTTAAATATCTCAAGTTTTGTTACTTGTTCCCTTGCCTTCCACCATTATCGTGGAAAGAACATGCCACAGATAATTTGTTGGTCTTAAGAGAATGAGAAATACATGACTTCCTAAAGAACTAGCAATTATTCGCAAGAAGCAAAGCCATTCAGCTTAAATCAGTCTAAATGAACTCCTGTTTCTCTCCAGATATATGAGTAATAATAAATGGTCTTTGCTTTTGGAAAATCTTTGTGGGCATTATACTACTTATAGCAAATAAATCCATATTTCTCAGGGTGGTCATAGCACAGCAGGTAGGGCGTTTGCCTTAATGCGGCCAATCCGGGATCTATTCCTCCGCCCCTCTTGGAGAGTCCATCAAGCCACATAGAGTATTACACCCGCACAGCAGATCCTGGCAAGCTCCCCATGGTGTATTCAATATGCCAAAAACATTAACAACAAGTCTCACAATGGAGATGTCACTGGTGCCCGCTCGAGCAAATTGATGAATAATGGGAGAACAGTGACAGTGACAGTGACAGTGGTCATCAAGGGAAGATTTTTCAAATTTGTGTGCGTATTTATGAAATATTAGATGTGAGAAAAGATTTTAATAAAAATTCTTATCTTTGCTATAGCAGAATTAATATTTGCAAAATTTAATCTTAAATTTACTCCCCTGAATCTTGATTAGAAAGTCAAATTAGACAATTACTTTACTCTGTAGGGTGGTAACTCAGAGAATCGAAGCCTGGATTGACTTTCTTTGTGTGATTTCATGTGGCTTATACTCTCAAGAGAAAAAACAAAGAAAGAAAAGGAAGGACAGAACAGGGGGAATGGAAGGAAGAGAAAGAAAAAATGGAAATAAGAAGGAAAAGAAAGACTTGCTATATTTTTCTCTTTATTACAGATTGAACATGAGAATATCTGTTCCAAAATGTCTCAGCATGAGATGAAAGAACTACTCAAACATCTTGTAACATATATGTGGGATTTTATGTGGGATTTTAAGGGTAAACTATAATATGTCACTTGATTTTAAAATTTTTAATTCAGTTTATATCATATGCCCTCAATTAAAAGGTGTAAATATTATTTAAAATGTATAGACATGCCATGTTTGTCTATCTTTATCACATATGACAACAATATATAGAAAGAGTGTGGAGCAGCCATCTTTGATTCCTGAATCACTGCAACCCAACCATTTACTTATTGGGACTATAGTTCTTGTCTAAGATCAGGTTTCTTATTTTCAACTAGTAAAAGTGAAATATAAAGAACATGATGAAGAGAAAATTTTCTCACTCTTTAAAGCATGAACATATGAAATTATGCCTCACTAGACTAATTCTGACAGTTATATCCATCTCCGCATATAGCTACAAGAATACAATTTATTAATATTTACCATTCAACATGATATTGAAACAAAATATTTCAAATTTCAGTATGTCAGGGATCTTCTTTGTATTTTCATAGTGAACAGAGTATCAATAAAGTATCTGTATATACTGTGTATCAAGTATTGGTTTCATTTAGTGTCTTGTTTTAAAAATTAAGAGATGGTTTGAATAAATGAAAACGATTAAAATTAGTATCTTTGCACATTTGACCAAGTACTTCTAAATTTTCTCCAAAGCTGAGAGTGCAAAAATTAACATAAAATACATCTGTCTGCTCAGCTAATGAAACTTCTTATCATTCATTGTCTTCTTTAATTTTTTTTACGGGAGGGGGTTATTTGGTCACCTAGATGTACTCAGGGTTACTTCTGACCCAAGAGATACCAGGATTAAACTCAGGTCAGCTGTATGCAAGGCAAGCACCTTACCCACTGTATTATCTCTAGGACCCCATCAATGTCTTCTTTTAAACACTTTGAAGTAACTGGAGCTGTATATGGAATAATAAAGCATTTAACAAAATTTTTTTTGGTGAAGATACATAAATAAATATTTTCCACTTTTCTGCTAAAAGACAAAAACTGATAGGAAATATTTAAAACTATGTACATGGGAGACAATAAAGTATAATCGTTAATGAGATGTGATATGGGATTATTAGACCGATTAAATGCTGCCTATTCTATATAAACAGAATGGTATTTGATCTCTTTGTTTTCTATTAAAGCATATTTTTCTTAGTTTTCTTTTTAAAATTTCATTTTATTAAAGCACTGTGATTTACAAAGTTATTTATAGTAGACTTTTAGGTATACGCTATTCCAGCACAGACCCAACTAACAGCATCGACTTGGCTCCTCTAATATTCCCAGGTTCCCTCCCCCATCTCTCCCCTCCCGCCCACCCACAACCCCAGCTCCAATCTGCCATCTTGACAGGCACAATTTTAAGTTTGGTTCTTAAAGTTTGGATTTCAATGATTTCAAAGTTGTTGACATGGTGGTTGAGATATTT